ACGCACTCTATACCCTACCATACTGCATTAAATGATCACTTAATGCACTGGGTATTTATAGAAGTGTTTCTTCTCCATGTAGAGTGCGTGCATCACTCTCCTCCCTTATTCTTACTTCAAGCTTCTTTCAGTTTAAAGTAAAAGACTTTCTTTTAGCAATCTCTTTTCTTGTAATTGCTAACCTTTGTGTGTATCTTAAGGTTGTTTAGATAGGTTTTCTCTTACCTTATCTTTCCGCAAACAATCTTGTAAAATCTGTATTGATCTTCTTTATCAATATATACTTTAAATTTGAAAACGTTGTGTTTGTATTCATCCCCCCCTTCTACAAACTGTTTAGTATTCTTGTAGACCCTTTTGGGACCAACACTACTAAATATCACTTTTTGTAACACCCCATTTTAAAAGGTTAGATAAAAATATTTATATGTTTGAAAGTTTAGGGTAGAATTGTTTTCCAGTAAAAACCAAGGGATTATAATGTTGGTCCTATAATCTAGTAATAATATAAATAGGGCATTAAAAGAAAAGAAAAAGAAAGTAATGGAATTGAAGAGAGGAATCGGGAGAAGGAAGAAAATGGCGATGGAAGTCACGTAAAGCTTCAACCTTGCTTTCTTTTCATCTAATTGACAAACTAAGGTAAGTTCTTTGTGTTTTTGTTTGATTTCTTGATATATTTGATGTTTAGGTTAGTATTGGATTCAATTTTTGGATTTTTAGGGCTCAAAATCGAGTTTTAACTGTTGTCCCTTGTATATGTGTAATTTCTATGAGAAATCCGATTTTATGATGTATATTTTTATCCCCAATTGAGTCCCATTGTGTTATATCTTCACTTTGATGCATTAGAACCTAAAATCTTTCAAGGATTGGAACAAAGTGGGTATTATACATCTTGTTAGTAGAAATAATTAGTTGGGTAAGTGATAAGCACTAATTATTTAGAGCTTGAACATTATTTTCTTCTCTTTTAGATAAGTCATTTTCTATTTACATCCCAACATTGAGTCATTTTATTTATTTACTCTGTTATAAAGCTAAAATAAATGATTGACCTGTTTCTGTTAGATAATAGACTAATATGGATTTATTTTGGACAGTTTGAAGCTATTTGATGTTGCGGAAATGTGGCAGCATGACCTAATGATGGAGAAATAGAAGAAAAAGGACTAGGAGTTGACTGACATGACAATGGCTGACTTTTGAAAGACTTCTTATGTTTGAACAACTGTTTATTAGCTGGAAACTTGTTGGCTATTTTAGTTACGTTAAAACTCTAAGTATTTACTTTATTGTACTAATGGTTACTTTAGGACTAATTTGTGTGAATTGTCTAAAATACACTCATCTCTACCTTAGTATAAATATAGATGTCGTGGCTAGTTTTTGAACATCTCTTCTAATTCTCAAGTAGTTGTCTTACTACTTTGACAACACTTTCTCTCTCTAGAAATACTAGTAAAACTTGGCTAATTTTAAGCTTTCTTTTAATCCGTTTCTTTCTTTACTTGCTCTTTAAATTCCATCATTTATTTATTACACTTACTTGCTCTTTAATTTACGTCATTTATTTATTACGCTTTTCGCATTTTATTTCCCGTCATTACTTTCCGTTATTTACTTTTATGTCTATATTTATCGTACTTTATATTTCTTGCAATTTACTTTCCGTCATGAGTAGCTAAATTTCTTAGCTCGGGTGTATGACAGAAGAAGTGAGTTTGTAAATCAAATTAAGGTAGACCCTTTTATGTAACAACAATGTTTCATTATTTCATTTCAAGTTTTATAAAACTAATGACACTTCTTGACGAGTTGATCACTGAAAAGTGTTAAAGTGTCATGGACTCTAGGCTGAGCCATTGATTGCACGTTAATTTGGATGATATAGGAAGTAGACTTGAGAGAGTTGCTATCAAAGAGATTTATTATCCGTATTTTCTAAATTGTTAATTCTCGACAGATTGATCACTTTGAAGTGTTAAAGTGGAATGGACTTAGAGATGAGCCATTCAAAACACGTCAACTTGAATGATATGAGAATCCACTTGAGAGAGTTGATTTTTTAACAAAGAGATTTGTTTATCCATATATTTTGAAAACACCATTTGTCACTTTCACTGGTCCGGATACCTCATAGAGATATGGGTTGAAAGCTATAATATCAGTGCATTGATGAAGTGCGAGAGGAATACCTTCAAAATAAATGGTGAAAATAGTTATTATTAATTGTATGTTGTAGCAATTTGTCAGCATGGTCTCATGCTGTAGCATTTTGCCAGCATTGATCTACTAGAAATAGTATTTACATCTCACCCTAAGTCTTACACCGTGGCTTGCTTTTATTATCTGTTATTTCCTGTTAATTTTTAGTTGTATTAACTTTGTTCAAATCAAAGTCTTCGAA